TTCACTACTTGATGACTTTGTGAAAATACTCGACTTCTTCTTGGACTTGGGCATGGTTGATCTTCAGACCACTTCTGATGTTATGATTGAAATGTAACACTTTGTATTCACAATTATCCACTATATTCACAATAATAATTATTACACACACACAACCTGACCGTATCACGGCTAATTTAATAATGTCTCATACATAGATAAATACTTCTCACTAGCCGTTACCTTTTACATAACGCTCGTGTGTCATCAACAGGTCTACAATCATATCCGCCCAGGGGGTCTATTCTCGAGCGATATTCGTATACGAGTTCGATCTTCTATCTCACTTCAATATACGTCACATACATAAGTGCATCTTTCTTTATTCGTATACGAATTGAATTCGAACGGTTCGAGAATAGAGCCCCAGGACCTTCACTCACGGGCGTTTCTAGATGTTATAACTCATAATAATTATTTTTTTCTATTCAACCCGTTGACGGAATCGTTTGTGCTCACCATGATTATTGTTTTTACATTTTGAGTCCCATATTGTTTGGTACCATTGTCTAATGATGACCGTAGTGCCGAAACCGGTAACTTTTCAAGGAAGTTTTTTTTTATACAGGGTGTTCCTTCATGATTTGCTAATATTCAAGGGGTCGATTCTTCGACCCATTTCAAGAATAAAACTTCATATGAACATATGTCGTAAACGTCCTAACTTTTGAGATACAGGGTGTCAATGTTGAAATATGCATAGATTTTGTTATGTTCACCCTGTAAAGTTTTTCGTGATGGCAACATTCAGTCTGCTATGTGACTGAATCGGTATACAAATTTCAAAATGTTACATACGGTGGTTATCCAGTAATGGATGTTCTGAATGGAGTACTCAAACATCAAAATGTCTGGTCTCGTTTTTCCATTTTTTCTCGAAAACGAAGCGTTCTATCGAGTATCAACAAGAGGATCCTTTTGTACATAATTAAATAGTCTTCTATAGCATTGTATGAAATTTGAAAATTTTCGTCGTTGCTCGCTTTTAGTAAAATATAAACAATAATTTTCCCGTAACGGTGCCACTGGTAGGGAAAATGAAAATCTTCTTAAATCAGAAAATGCACCTTGATGCATAAAAGATGTATACAATATTGTCTTAGTTATCATAAAAAAACGGAATATTTTTCAAAAGAGTTTTAGGACATACGTTCATATGAAGTTTTCTTGTTAAAATGAGTCAGAGAATTACCCCCCAAATATTAGCATGTCTTTAAGGAACACCCTGCATATAAGGTGTGGTCGACCGACTTTCTTTTGATAATTAATGATTTCCAACATTTGTGTTGACGATGTTGCCGCTCCTTAGAATTTGTCTGAAATATTCATAAAAAATGGTGAGTTAAACAAAATTGATGTTGTTTTTAGCTTTGTTGCCAATTGAAATTTTCCCATGAAATTTCGCGATCAACCCAATGGGCTTGTACACCTTAGTACATAAATAATGATTGACCAATGATTGACCGCATGATTCGATCGAAAAATTAACTGGAATGTTTCATTTTTGAATAGAAATAATAGTACCTTCTGAAAACGGACCCTCCTATGACGTAGAAACCTCATCTCGCCATAGTTGAAAGAAAATTCCAAACGCCCGACGGAGACTGAGGCAACTGATATATTAATTCTTTCCACCTGTGATCTCGCGCTAATTCACTCTGTCAGAAATCATGTATCATTCATCTCTGTCTCTGCCTGGAATAGTCTTGTTTCAGTATTAGGGTTTTGACGTCACATCATCACCTCGTTTTCAGAGGTCCGAAAAATCGGAGATTTCAATAATTTTTTATAAATCGTAGGGAGCTCACAGCAAGAAACGGTTTGCGGTGGTGAGCTAGTTTGGGCGAGTTCTATCGAATTATGAAATACAATTTTTTTGTGATATAAGCCCATTGAAGGATGCTGAATCCAGTGGCAGGGGTCGATTTTTTTTTTGAAAAAAATCGCCAATGATATTTTGCAATTTTTAACATGAAAAAAATATCTAGTAGCCCTGAAAATTGGAATTATATTTTGCAAATTTGTATGAACGTATAGATCTTCGGATACTTTTTCTGCTGAAACGAATAAATCGGTTAAAACTATAGATTTTACAAGGATCCTCAGGTTTAAATGGGTTGTATAAAGAAAGATTGTGAAAAAAATACTTCTTGTATAGGCTCAATGGTGAAGTTTAATTTTCTCCAAGTTGACTATTTACAAATCTATAATAGCACATCACTTGAATTACGGTGGAACTCTTTTATTTTTTCTCACTAATGACCAATTGAATGTAATTAAAAAACACAAAAATCGTGCCATGAGAGCTATACTCATGTGTAACACACGTACTCCAATAAAAAATATGTTAGATACATAATAATTTAATGTCTGCCAAACAAAGAATTCATTACAATATTGGTCTTGGTATTAAAAATGAAAAACAGTATGTACCTCAGTGACGAATCAAGTTATAAATAAAATGTACACACTCATGAGTCATGATACTAGAACTCTAACTGCAAATTATTTTTATATAAGAATGGATAACATGCACTGTGACAGAGTATTCAATAAGAATAAGGGTTTAATAATTTTCGATAGCTTAAAGGCAGAAACAAAAAACTTCATGACTGAACATCTTGAAAAAAAAATTATAGTATTCAATCAGTTTTGATGGTATTAAATGGTATTTTATTGTAATATGTTGTACCTACTATAGTACCTATTTATGTCTTTTGAAGGACTTTTGTTATTTGTGACATGTGTTATTTTGTTATTTTCTTTATTTCTTAAAGAGCAATTGTATGCTAATAAAGACAAATTTTCACCCAGCCATCAACTGATTTCGTTATGGATTGCGCCTTGCGTCTCACTCTAATGTTATCGTCAATCTTCTCTCTCAATATATTTCTTAATCCATTTTTTTTGTCATATCCATAATATAAAATAGTTGAGAAAATTCCTTTTAAATACTATTTATGAGTTTAATATCATTATATATTTGTCTGAAACACTGTGTCTCGACTGATTGCAAAATATTGTGTTGCATATGGATGCACTATAATCTTCAGGATTATAGGAAAGACCTTCCATTTAATTTTTCAATAGGGATTCAAGGATATTCATGCAAGTGTTCCATAGAAAATGTTACTAGGAACATAAGGTAACTATTCAACAGATTTTTTTTTTCTTAAATCGGAGCATATTTTATTTATGATACTATTTACCAGCTCTTCACGTTAGTTTTATTGAGTATGTTTGATTGACAGACTTAATTGTAAGCCCAAAAAATTCGAAATTATTTTCGTGTTGAGCTCGGACTAATACCAGAGGAGTTTCTGCTTTAATCGCCGGAAGAGGAATTAAGTTTTTTTAGACGAATACTTCGTCATAAAAAATATCCAGATATCCTCTACATACTTTTTCCGTAGTTAGTTGCAAGGTTTGTAGTTGGAAAATCGATAAATAATTTTAGTTGAGACTATCTATTACTAAAATACCATAACATTGTCCGCAATTTTTTTCTTTGGTTTTAACATTTTTCCGTACGTAAAAAATCAAAATATTCAGTACCAGTTGTCCCTAAATCTTCCCTAAATCATGGACACCCTAAATATTTACCAGCTAGTACTATAGCACAAAAAAAATTCATAACATTCATAAATTCAACTCCATTACTTAGGTATTAATATTTCAGAAAACTCTGATAAAATTTAAGGAATTATGGATTAGTACCAACAATGATACAATTGATTCTTTTTCTCTTAAATATGGTCAATCGAATTTTCTAATGAAATATCACCATGAACTGATTAATTAATGAAATGATTATGTGCCTTTCAAATAACTACTTTCAACATCATTAAGTATCCACATTCATCTTATTGTGCTCAATATACCTGATTGATGATTCTCCAAGGTGGCTTCCCCATGACTTTTTCATTATTGAAGATAAAAAACGAAATTTGCGGGTTGTGTAGGTATCATAGTTCTATTCAAATTTTTTGACATCAACTTGTTTTTCCTTACTTCCGGTTTGGCCGGAAATTACCTCAACTTTCAATTTTTGAATGGAACATATTATATTTTCACTTATTTTGCTGCAGAATGAATAATGATAATAATGTCTATTCATCATAAATTAATACTCAAATTATTCCCATGAAAATGATCCGACGAGCCTTGCCCGATCCATTTGAAAAAATCAAGTTAGCAGGAAAAATCCATATTTGCAACTTTCAGATGATTTCAAATCAACTGTTTGTGCTTCAATCAAGTCATATTTTTCCCATGTTACTTGTTCAAAAATGAAGCAATTTAGATGATCCATCTGGCATTCTAGATCAAATAATAAAAATTGGTATCAAAATAACTTCATTTGCCACAAGCTGGGCCACAAGTGAGGTGTTGTTGGATTTTGAAAGTAATTCTTGATTGAACTAAGTGAAAATATTAAGGATGTTGTATTCAAAAATCTGAATTAGAAAGGGCCAATTCCGGTCAAACCAGAAATATGGAAAAATAAGTCAATATGTAAAAAATGTAATTCAAACTACCTATTATGTACACAACCCCAAATATCGTTCTTCTATCTTCAATAATAAAGAAGATCCAGGGCTGAGCAACCTTAGAGAACCACCCAGTGAGTATGGAATGATAATGATAATTAAATCAATTACTGGACTGATAATTTCATGTAGGCAATAAGGGGCAGGTATTTTGCATTTATGTTATGTATCTGATGCGGCAGTTGTGTGAAATGAAATGTTTAATAACATTCACATTGATAACTCAATGCAAAGATAAGTATTTAGTGATACAACCTATAGCTATAGCACCTATAGGTGGAACCACACACTTTAAAGAAACTCCAACTCTGTATCCAGCTCTGCTGTACATTCAAATACACAATAGACTTCTGATTAGTTGCTCAAGCTGTTCCTACAGGGTAGAAGATGGTAAAAGCATAGACTACTTACAGAAGATAAACTTTCAGTAATCTTAGGTAGAAGTGTACTTATCATGTGATGGCTTTTTTCTGAATTTATATTTGGAACTTTCCTCTGAAAAATACGAATTTTACAATGAAAATGTGAATAATTTGTAATTTATCAAGATATTTTATAAAAAATTTCAAAGAATGCAATAGATGTCAAATAAAGGTGACATGTCAAAATAATTTTAAAATTTGAAATTTGCCAGAGACCATTGTTGATTATAGGAAATAAAATGTGTTATTGAAGTACATCGTGAATGTATAAAGTGTCCAGTGATGGAAAAGAAGACAATTGTAAATTAATATCCAAGAAGAGTGGCAAAACATATGGTGAAATTTTGAACTTTTTTGTAAAATATCTCGATAAATAGCTGTTTGTTCACCTTTTCATTGTGAAATTCGTGTTTGTCAGGCGAAAATACATAAAAGAAAAAATTTCGAAAAACCCCATCTCATGATGAGTGCACTTTTACCAAACCTAGCCTAGTAGGTACTTACCTGCATACAAAACATTAACAACTCTACAGACTGCAAGACTTGCAAGAGTGGAAGCCTAAAGCAAAGCTAGTGAGATTGGTGGGAACTTGAACAGCCTCGGCCTCGACTCGACTTTCTCTGTGGGATTCCCCTATCGTTGTTTAATTTTTACATGTTTTTCGGGATTGTAGGTTTTCATGAATTTCGCCCAAATTCTTCAAAGCGATCTGTTTTTACTTTACTTTTTTTTGGCTTGTTGACTCCTTGAGACCTTGCTTGAGGATGAGGATTGAGGAGGCTCTTGACTCTTGAGTCTTGAGTTGACTCTTGAGATGTAATGTGAAGAAATAATAATCAATCATAATTCAAGCTTATCTTTCTGAGTCATGTTAATGTCAATGTCATGCTAATGTCAATGTCATATAAATGTTAATGTCATGGAATGTCATGTTAGATCTGTATCTCTTGAATTGTTTATCACGGCCACCTATGGGTCTATACATAGCACCGCAACTAATAATCCCAACAAGCCACTTGGACACAAAATATCCAACAATTACCTATTAAACGAACTTACCTGTGGAATTCAATCGTAATTATGAGGCGCCTCGTCCGCAGAGATTACTCTGTTAGTATCGCTTTACGATCATTGAACTCACTGTAAACCCTACTGTAAACTAGGGTCCCATCTGTAAACTAGGGCCCGGGCGTGTTTTTCATTCCATCGAAGAAAGTGCGCACTGATAGATGCGGTTTTTTGTCGTGACGTCACCAATTGTTCTGTTGGAATTTATGCTGGAAGGATTTTAACAATGGTTTATACAACACATTGATGGAAACACGGATTTTGTTGTGTGTCAGTCATCATGTATCTTGAGAATCAGAAAAGGCTAATTCGACTTTATTGATTAACACTGACTCTTTCTTCTAAAATCTCTCAAGAATCTCAAAAATCCTCAATATTAATTGTTTTTTCTGTGACGGGGAAAAAGTTTGGCATTTCATCTCTGTTGGCAGGTTATAAAATGTCACTTTTCATAAATTACTTTTTTCCCGTGGGAAAAAAGTGAGTACTTCTTTCCCGGATATATATCACATATATATACTCTGTTAATGGCTTTTGTTGTGCTATAGTTCCGAAAAATAAGTCAATAATACCGTCTCCGAGAAAGAACTGCAAGTCCTTTTATCTTCCATTCGACTTCGCGGTTTCGTATATTACTAAACAACTACTGAATTCGCAATTTTTTAAAATCAAATCACAGAATTGAACTGACAGAAGTGACATCAGATATTTGATTACTTCAAAAGAATGAAGAAGATGTCTATAAAACGCAGGTGTCCCTACTGTTAAAAACTTGAAATTTCACGTCGATAATTTTCAGATTTCGAAATAATGTAATATCTTCCCAATATTGATTCGTCCTACCTTCTGTCACAGAAAAAAATAGTGTATTATACACGGGAAAAATATTAGATTTTAGCTCACGGTTTTTTGTCTCCCTCCGCTACGCGTCGGGAGACAACACAACCTGGAGCTAAAATCTACTACTTTTTTCCCTTGTATAATAAATAACTATTTCTATCAAATCAAAACAAAAAACAACACTAAAATGTGTCAACTGTCATGTCAATCTCCTCCAAACTGCTGGATTCTCGAAATGCGATTTAAAAGTGCGCATTTTATTACAATAGTTTGATGGATGTCCATCAACATTCCAGCGAAATTTTGCAACAGTTTGATGGTTTCTTCGATTCATGCGCATGATAAAATGTTGGAATGAAAAACGCACCCCGGAAATTGACGTTGAAGTCATCTTAACAGACTTTAACGCCAATTTCCATCAAGGGACTCTACTGTAAACAACATTGAGTTCATTGTTTACGATATCTCATTTACGATGCACTAAAGTCACGTATTTTGGAAGAAACAGAAAATATTTTTTGTTCTGTGCTGAACCCCTCAACTGTCATTTGTCATCATCTTCATTCTGTTTGAAGGTGGGAAAAGACGGGTAGATTTAATTTTTTTGAATCAGGAGAGGTGGGTATGATATCTGCGGACGAGGCGCCTCATATAGTCACGATTGAGCTACACGGTTATTATTATACGTCGGCGTCTCGTCTGCAGATATCAAAGAAAACAAAGGTCTTTTCTCATAGTTATATCGTTAATTATTTTTCAATACAGCTCTAGCAAGGCTATATAGTCTGATACCTGAGGGGTCTGTTATAAAAACGTGCGAAGATATCGGACTTATACGGATATTTCATTCACAACCCGTCATGGTTTAAGCTGATGATACCATCTCATTGTGTTTAACCGTGACGTAATTTTCTGTTCACCTACCTGCCACTTGAATATTTTTTTATAAATGATGAATGATGAATGTGAAAATGGAGGATATAATGGGAATATTCAAATTGAAAACGAATGAAGTGGATGTCGAAGTGAGAGATACTCGGGTAAACTGTGGAAGTGGGTAAAGTGAAAAAAATAGTCATTATGACGTAGTTGCCTCCCACCACCTTCACCTGATACCTAACCGGTCAGAAAAACGAGGAAAATCTATTTCTATTAATTCTTTCACCGTTTTTTCTTTCGGGTGATTGGGAGAATATACATCGTGTCGCACTCTGAATTCCCCCCGCACCTCTATATCTCAGCAATTAGCCGTGTAATTCATACCAAATTTTGGAATAACCATTGATATGATCAGTTCTTCAGAGGCGAACATCATTTTGAACAGTGCCGTGCGTTTTTATTGAGATAAAAATAATGGGGCGCGATTTTCCATGAAATCATATGAGATGAGGCATTTTTTTGCAGGAAAACTAAATTCATATTATTGTTCCTCATGTTTTCGAACCTCCATATATGCAAAAAATTATTTCATTGGAAATCAACAGGATTGGCTCATTTTTTTTTTCATTTTCTTCCTAGAAAAAATAGTGTATTCAAATTAACTGAAAATGTTGGGAAATTCAATTCCTCTGGTAGAAAAAAAATTAGGGTTTGAAAGAAAAAACAGAATATACTTTTTTTTTGTTGAACGGTATGCGTTCCGAGTAAATAATAATTCACGTTCGCAAATATGCTGTTTATTACATAATTATGTGCCTGTGTTTTTGATACAACTCATAGAAATCATATAAAAATTTACATAAGGGCGTCTGGAACCATAAAGAATAATATTATAATAAGGTCAGTTTTCTTGAAAAAAATCCTAATATGATTCCATGAAAAATTTACCCCTTCTAATTTTGATAAAAATGCACGGCACTGTCCAAAATGATGTTTGTCTCTCAAAAACTGATCATATTCATATCGATGATTATTCATAGGGTTCGAAGGGTGAGAGAGGGGGGAGGACGTTTGAAGTAAGAAACGCTGTATTCAGTGCTTTTTTTTAATGTCCTCCCCTTCGTTTATTTCTTGAACGGGTCAACTGAAGAAAAAAGTGGAACTAAGGATAATGAAATTGCTGCATTGATAACTATATTGTGTAGTGAAATTGACAGATATACCGACTGGGTGCATCTGAGAAACAAAATTAATTGGACACATCCTGCTTTTTGAAGCTCCTGACGGGTACTTTACAACCGTAGAATGTAAAGTCAATATCTTCACCAAAAACATTAATATCTGCACATTGAACAAAATTTAACAGGGGAACTGTATTTGAATATGCTGAAAAATAATTTCGACTCTCTAATCACCGAAATCGTCGAAGCAAATCCTAATAAATTCGATATGTATATTTGTATTCCAACAAGTTGGAGCACCACCACATTATCGTCTAGACAAGTGAAAAACTATTCGGATAATATTCCCTCCGGTTGTTGGATTGGCAGTCGAGGTCCTACGGAATGGCCAACTCGCTCGGCAGATTTGACGCATTTTGGTTACGAAAATGAACATTATCGTCTAGACAAGTGAAAAACTATTCGGATAATATTCCCTCCGGTTGTTGGATTGGCAGTCGAGGTCCTACGGAATGGCCAACTCGCTCGGCAGATTTGACGCATTTTGGTTACGAAAATGAACCTGCTTCAATATTGGATGGGAGAGAATAATAAACATTTGTAGAAATATCGACGTCATTGTTTTCGAAAATGTTTGGCGTGAAATATTGGATATATATAGACTGTTCTTATGACAAGCAGTTCAAGGCAACCATTTCAGGCATCCTCTGAACTGAGCTCAGCTTATTTCCTCAAATCAGGAAGTTAAACGTCGATGTATTCAGACAATTATTAAATGTTCGGTCTTTGCAGTAGGTGAAGATATATTGACTTTATATTCTAGGGTTCGTCAGGAGCTTCGAAAGCATGTGTCACAAGGCCCCCCTTTCCGTTTAATTTTTTCCTCAGAGATGGCATCCAGTTGCCAACTTGGAATTTTCATTTGTCAATTTTACTCCAGAATATAGTATTCATGCATCAATTTCATTACCCCAAGTTTCAAGTTTTTGAGTTGACCCGTTCGAATAATAAACAAGGGAGGACATTAAAGAAAAGCACTGTTTATATAGGTGGTTATTGAATGCCAAGCATTGGCCTTTCTAGAGATTGGGTAAAAAAGTTGTGGTCTTTCCTGGCAACACCAAAGTCAATGAAACGATGAAGGTCCGATACTCATTTGCTTCACTGGCAAAATGATTATAAGAATATGAAAGGCCAATAGATTTTTGCCGTTGGAGTCATTTCCCCAGCAAAGAAAAACATTGGGACAA